GAGAGAGAGATCCCAAGCACTGATCCATGCTGTCAGTGCAGAGACTGATGTGGGGCTCGATCTCATGAAGCATGAGATCATGACCTGAGCCGAAATCAAGAGTCAGATGCTTAACCGACTAAGCCACCCAGGTGCCCCAAGTTAGAGTAGTTTTAAATATACTGTTCCATGTAGCCATTACAGTAATTCTAAGGGCAGATAAGCATCTTTTTTTATAGGTGAGGAACTTAGCCTCAGATGGGGCTAATGATGGCTGGGCTAGGTCCACCTGAACACTCAGTCTGTTCATGAACGTTGAGTTGCCATTAAATGAACAGAACTGTTTGGCAAGTAATGAGTTCTTTGTGCCTGGGGATGGACAAAGGTGGTCAAACATGAGCTATGGGTATCACAGGAAAGCTTCAAGCACTGGAAAGACAATGGGGCCCGATGGCCCTTGAAATTTTTTCTGAGGTTCCCTTTAATTCTCCGATATTTTAGTGCCTACAACATGGGCTTCTTCCAAACTTTATTTTCTCCTGAGCTTTAGAAGTAAAAGAATATCTGAAGAAGCACATTGCTACAAAGAAGACTAGGTAGAAAAATGCAAAAAGAATCAAATGAAGAGACTCATGAGATTTTTGAGAATCAAGAAAGGCGAAATTTAATTTGCATATAGGTGTAACCAACACCCCACCTGGCAAGTGTTAGGACACATCACAAACCCCTCTGTTAGAATCACAAATGGCAGCAGATTTGCAAAGTTACTGGACACAAACAATACACTTCTCAAAGTAACACATGGGTCTGTCCATCACGCTTGCACACACAAATAAGAAAGAAATACATTTAAATAATTCTTTGCCAAAGAGAGATGAGGATGGTAATCATGTTGCCTCACATTTGGACAGCACTTTACAGATTACAGTCTAACCCATTTTGTCCTGATGACAGCCCTGTGAGGTAGGCAGCACAGGATTCACTCTTAGCTCATTTTGCAGATGAGGAAACTGAGGCTCAAGAAGGCTTCGGCGCTGGCCTAAGGTCTCCCAGCTTGCAGATGTAGATCTGGGCCTAGGACTCAGGGCTAGGGCACCTCGTCCAGCTCTTTTACTACTGACTTTCTAGGGATAGACAAAATGGGCTGTGCAAAAGACACTGGTTCAATATCAAGTAGAACTATTCTTTTTCTTGAGCAGATGAGGTCAAGTACAATCAACCTAATGTTAATGTCATGCTGTGTGGTAGCCAAGATGAATACTTTCCTGAATCATCCATGTGTTTATACGTATAACAAAATGGTTTTCTACTTTAGCTTTGCCCTGCCTTAATTTTAAGTCACTCACAGCCATGGAAAAATGACACTATGGTTAGATTTCATTGACCCAAGTCTTATTATCAGGATTCATGTAGTGGCATCTGTAATCAGTCATTATCTAAACTTACAGTCTGGTATCTTATTGAAATGAAAATGAATCTTGTTCATTTATTCCTTCTGGCTGTGGGCATTAGCCTGGCTCTGTTCTGGCTCTATTCTTTAGTCATAAATAATGTATTATTTATCCCACATAATACATATCCCATATATAATATACCCCATTTCAAAAGTAGTAAAAATGGGAAACTTCACAGGTTAGATTAAAAAAATATTTAAAGCAAAGAGAATCATTTTTTTTCAGGGGGGATAAAATCAAACTTTGAAAAGAAATCTAAATAAAATCCTTTATTTTAAAATAAACATTGATTTGGCAGGGGGGTGGAATAACCCCTCTATTGTATTACTCTTTTCAGTTAAGAATTTAAAAGTGGCCCAGTCATTACCAACCCAAAGTTTTGTGAGAGAAGAGGAACTGGCCCCTCATCATATACTCCAAATTGGAATGTGATGGATTTTTCTCTTCCAAGTTATTCAGTATCTATGAGTTTCATTTGTTTTTAAGCAGTACTTTAACATGTATGAAATCTAACAAAGTAATGGGGGCTTTGTGTGAGAGCCACTCAAAACTATTGCAACAGTAGTTTAAAATTCTCCCTTTAAATTCCTTCAGAGAAACACTAAGGACAAGTGACAACGTTCTACTTCATGCCTAAGTCTGTCACATAATATACTGGCTTAAGTAAGAGATTTGTCCCTGCAGCAAAAGTGGATGTCTTAGTTAATAACCGAAGGCATCCCCTGAAAGCCCCAAGATAATTTCATAGACAGTACAAAATGTGGGTATTCATCTGAAAGCATGAAATTGGCTTTTACTTCTGATTTTCTAGGTTAATTTGGTAACAATTCAAGTGTTTGCTATTTGGTTGTGAGAGGCTGACCTGCCTTCTACTCTTAGAAATGGGTCTCAAATAATGGAATATAGGCAGACACAGCTGGGAGTGCACACTCCAACAGTAAATACAAAGCTTGCAAGGCAGAAGAGGATGAGTGCTTTAACAATCAGAAGAAGCACTGCAAACTGCTCTTGGGGATTTTAAACGTGACCAAAGTGAGGTTTTTAAAATGCACGTTCTTTTCCCAGATGGCCCAGAAATGGTACAGGTCATGAAAAGGAGCTCCTTGGAGGTGGAGTCCTCACTTTCGCAGCTCCAGCAAAGGCTTCAGACTCCAGAAAGCAGGAAGGACGCATAACTCAGTAAAACGCTAAGGGTCACCATAGCAATTGACAGTGCCCGTGGATGACCACTAGGGGGCGCTTCCAACATCTGCAGGAAATAGGCGAGAAAGCTTTGTCATTCGTTGGGGAAACCACAGCTCTCCAAAAGGGGAGGAGCCTTTGGAAATTCCTCTAGCTCCCGTTTTTCTTTAGTAAGATTGGCTGCGGTGCCTCAGGAACATCTAGGTTAGGGAAATAAGGGTCCAAACTTCCCCGGGGAAGTGCACACAGAGTGACCTCTTCCCCTCTGGAAGACTCTGGGGACCTCAAAGCAGACTGCATGGACGTTTCCACATGTTGTTTTGCCTGAAACTACTATGCGTGTGGTCCTGTCACGGATTTTTCCTGGTTTAGTCCACCTTCCAAGACTGGTTTTGAGCCAAGAAAGTTAACCTTTATTTTCCTTTTCTTCTGCAAGACCTTGAGGTGCTTGGTGCAATTGACACGTATTAGTTCGAATGCTCAGTTTTTGAACACTGAGAAATAAATTGCAAGATATGCATTGTTAGGATCCAAACAACCCATGCTTATCATGCATCAAGGTGCATCAACCTCTTATTTGAAACTAAAGAGAACAGACAAGCAGCTTTTCAAAAAAAGAAAAATAAAGCATCCATAAATAACCCTCCTTGGGTTTAGTGCTACACTGTTGGCTAATATGAGCTATTGAAAATATTTTTGGAATGGTCTTCAAATATTATAAATATTTTCTTTTGCTTACTTGGTATTTCACTATATAGCTATGTACAGAGATGGCGCTTACCATGCAGGAAAAATATACATTCTCCACCTCTATGGTACATTATGAAGGCTAGAATTTCCACTGGGTCTTATGAGCCAGCAAGTTGAATTTATTAGTCAGCCATTAGTTATAACAACATAATTAAAGTGCAAAGAAGGAAGGAAAGCAGCTAGATAGATCAGTTTTTTCATGGTCAGCATTAACATACTTCATGCCTCTAAGAGAAAATGTCAGGTGCAATAGGCTCAGGTAACAATAACTCTGTATCTTTTTCTCTTTCTTCTTTTAAAGCAGAGATCTCCCTGAGAAGAGAAGAGGGAGGTAAACATGAGATAGCCCTATTTCTTCAACAACCAACAATCCTGGGAAGAGTAAGGTCACTTCCCCAGCACACGACAGAAGAACTAAGTCCTGCCCTTAGTTTTCTGATATAAGAGCTGTTGAGTGGTTGGTCCCATTTCCCATACACTTCCAGTACTTTCAGTCATAAATATCCCTAAAGTTAAAAACAAAGATGACCGGGGAAGAACTGTCTACCAACAGCACACAGAAGTGTGGGTTTTAAAAAGAAGATCCCATTAAACAACGTTTTAAAAACACAGCCAGTATTCATAGTGAGCCGAAAAATGGTTTGTATAAATCAGAAAAAGTCCCCACATTACTGCGGGGAGGGTGGTGGGGAACAAGCACAGCAAGGTGCAGTGATCATTTTCAAGGATATCTGATTGCTCAGCCTAAAACCCCCACAGCGTTTGGTGGCCCTCTGTCCTACCCCACAGCGTTCTTGGGGAGGTGTGCAGGCACCTTTTTGCAAACTCTGCACCTGCCTCTCTGAGGGCACTGGCTTCTTGGGCACCACAGCCCCAGGAGGAAGCCCCGCCCCACCTGAAGTCAGCTGGCAGGCAGGAACCACGGGCAAAGCCTATTGAGTTGTTTTTTGTTTTTTGTTTTAAGTTGCATTCACTTGACTTTCATCACGTCTTTCCTATCCTGTTGCCTAAAAACCAAAAAAGCAGTTTCAGAACATGCCATCCCTCCAATGTAAATATTTAGAATGCACTGAAAACCATGCACATGCTTGTACACTGAAATTGCTCGTGTGGTGGTCCATCCTTGAAGAGGAAGCCTCAGCTTTTCTGGAAGCTTATAATAAAGAAAACATAACAGAAGCAGTTAAACCCTAGGAGAAAGTTGGTAGTTGTACCCAAGCCAGTAAAGTGCCAGACAAGCAGCTCAGGCCTTTTCCACAGATCTTTGTCCCCGAGTTCTAACGGAACACGGGCAAACTCTGAAATCTACCTTCTTACCTGCTTCATTACAATGGCTACCAGCATCTCCTATATTACATTCCCTTACGAAAAATGTACCATCAGCTTTACTAAGGATCAGTCTTTTCACCTTCCCACCCAAGTCTGAAGCATCTGTCTTTGACCCCAAACAGCTGGGCTTCCCTGGCTGGAGACAGAATTCCAGTTGGGTTCCATCTTCTTCAGTGGACAAAGGAGACTGGCTTTGTCTCTATCCTTGGTCCACACTGCACGGTGGGAGGCATGGCATGCATGGCTCAGTTCTGTCCGTCCCACTTTCCATGAGAATTCTACGGAGTCAGGGGCAAGGCCAGATCTTCAAGCAGGGAGCCGAGGTTCAATTTTTAGTGACAGTTCATACAGCGTATCTTCATCTATGATGAGGGCTTTGTCAAGCAGGTACTGAGTCACCTGGAGGAACAGGGAAATCCGAGCTTTTGGTTCTTACAGAACACCAGTACTCACGTTTTCTGAATGGAATCTGACACAATTAAACATTTTCTCTTAAGACACTTAAAAAATGTTATGTAACTTCTTAAAAATCATGAATGTTTTCTCATTGTAAAAAAAAAACCCAACAACAATCACACATTTCCAGTCCTCTCCCAGCTCCTAACCGCAGGCACCACTGCTATCATGTGGTTTGTATTCTCCAGAGGGTTCTATCTTTCTAGATATTCAATGTACTTAATAGAAATCTTTTTTTCTCTCATTAGTGGTATCCTACTGTACATCTTCTTCTGGTTTCATCTCTTCACTGTAAGTCCGGGAGAGTCCTGATTACACAGAATGTCAGTACACAGAATGTTAACTGCTATACAATATTAACCTGTGATCAGAGGTTATTTAATGATCTCTTATTGATGGGTGTTTAGCTGCTGTCAGTATCCCACTATTACCCAATGTGACAGTGAAATACAGTGAAATCCTCCTTAGCACGTTTCCTGTGCTCACTCAGGAATGTTCCTTTGGGACAGACAAAATGAAATGAAATGAAATGACACTAAGATAAAAATGTTGGGGCCTGGAGTATTTCCATGGAAATATTTCTTTAATTTTACCGATATGACTTACATAAGTAAAATTAATAGTCTGATCGTTTCTAGCATATATATCACAATACAGGACACCCCCGCTACCCCACGAAGTTCCCTCTTTCAGCTTCCCAGTCAATCTGCTCCCAGAAGCAGCCACCGCTAGGACTTCTGTTACCAGGTATTAGTTTTGTTGACTCTAGAATTTGAGGTAAGTGTATGCTTGGTGTCCAGCTCCTTTCACTCAGCATAGTGTTTTGCGGTCCATCCATGCTGTGGTGTGTATCATTAGTCTGTCCTGTCACTGCTGAGCAGTGCTGCATGGTGTAGATACACCATGTTCGTTTAGCAGTTCATCTGTTTGTGGACACCTGGGCTATTTCCAATTTTTGGCTATTATTAAGAAACACTATGAACATCTTATACAAGACTTTCAATGAGCATGTTTTCATTTGGATAAACGCCTAGGAGAGGAATTCCTGGGTCCTAACGTAGATGCATATTTAATGTTTTAAGAAACATCCACACAACACAGTTTTCCAAAGTAGATGAACCATGTTCTTCTCACCGGCAATGTAGGAGAAGTCTGGTTGCTCAGTTCGTCAATTTTTAATTTTAAAAGATGATGTAAACTAACCTCTCAAATTGCTGTACCTATAGTATATGAGAGTACCTGGTATCACACACTGTAACTAATGTTTGATATTACCAATATTCTAAAATTTGTGAAAATGATGCCTCAGTATAATTTGCATTTCTCTTCCTTCTCACCAGTGAAGCCGAACATTTTTCAAATATTTACTGGCCATTTTTGTTCTTATTCTGTGAGTTACCTCACCTGTTCATAGCTTTGCCTATCTTTCTACTGAGTTGTTTATACTTTTCTTACAGATGAATAAGAATACTTTTATCCTGTCTCTTTTACATGTTATAAAATATCTCCTCCTCTCCTGGTTTTATTTTTGCTTTTTAAAATAATTTCCTTTTGTCACATAGAAGTTTTTAATTTTGATGCAGCAAGCTTAACCAATCTTGTCTTTTGCAGCTTTTACATTCAATGCTTAAGAAGGTGTTTCTAATCTACAGGTCATGAATATTTTGCCCTATATTTTATTCACGTAATTTAATATTTCTTTTTACATTTAGATAATGAGCTGATCTGGATTTTTGGGTGTGTGAATGGTAGCAGATGGAGAGCCAAAATTCCTATTCCATTTACTTGAATGGTCAATTTCTTTCTGGCACTTTCTGTAAATGCCTCCTTTATTCCATATTAGGTTTTCATATAGACAAATCTCCATCTTGACGGTATCCCACTCCACTGAATTTGTATTCCTGCACCAATATAGTCCTGTTCTATTCACTATATTTTAAGACATGTGTCTGTATCTGGTAGGGAAAGCTCTTTCTTATTCTTCTTATTTTTCAAAAAATCCTTGTCTGGTTTTTTGTTTTTTTTTTTT